CAATCAGCAGATATATCCACAAAGAGAAAAGAACGAATTTACTGGCGATAGCTGTACAAAATTTATGTCCCTTTGTAGATAAACCCGACCAGATGACAGACCAAGAGAATACTAATAATAACAAAAAGAGAATATGGGCCCCAAGGTCGCTCCGTCTTTTTTAAGAAATAATCACGATCGTAAAAAAGATTCTGCATAAAACAGTTCCACGTCGAGTACAATGCAAGGATACGCGAATCACTGCAGATATTTTACTGTCAAACCAGTACCAATGTAATTGATGGTAGGATAAAGTTCGATAGATGCATGACTATAACCTCATATATACTTCAGGCCATCGTGGGTGTGTCTGTGCATACTTCTTCAGACAGCTGTACTTAAACACGTCAATATCAATTGCTGAAAACATACAAGAATTGCCTTCCTGTATTTCCATTTGAGAAATTTGAGAAATTTTTCAACCTGAAAAAATCCACATCATCGCAAATAATTTGCATAACAATACCAGAACCGTTCTCGGAGTTTTCCCACTGTGTTCAATTTTTTATTGCTAAAATTAATTGAGATAAAGGCAATAATCGCGCGGAGGATCTTGATCATTGACTCCATGACTCGCCAAATCCGGGAGTTGGGTTGAGGCTGCAGCAAAATCCACCCACAGCAGGAAAGAGATTTCTCCCCAGCGGAAAAATACATTAAGACAATCAGTTAAAATTCTTTTTTTTGTCGTTTCTCATAAAATTTGGTCAACACGCAGAAGTTTGTTCTTAGGTCAACGAGCCTCGATGAAAGCCCGCCGCCGTGTAATTACAGTGGCAAAATCGTGAGTGACACACGTGCTGCCTTCCTGACGTGCATCACATACCAGATAAATACTTTCTTGTACCGTATTCTCGTCAACCGCTAAAAAGCATCGAAATAAATCGAAATATGGCAAATTAAATTGATACAATTCTGACACCCAATTAGTACAACCATTTTTTGTGCAGACACACCACAGAACCGTCTTTTTTTCAACATCTAAAAAACTATTCTTCGTCTAGATCATCGAGTCTCGAGTTCAGCAGCCCGTGATTTTTTAACAAGTCACAATCGATTTGCTTCACTTTTGTCATAAATAATTCATTGCTTTGGCCAAAATCAACGTGTGTCTAGACTGACACAATGGTAAATTTTCGACTAGTTTACTCCAATCTAGATTTAAAAATCACCAACCAACATTAGCTCGTAAAATTTAACACTAGCAAGTTCCGGTAACACATTTAGACATTAACTGGCGATAATTTAGCTATAATTAATTTTTACAAGTGTAATTATGTGGTTAGTTCCTTTGTGAAACTTTTCCTTACGTGCGAGTAGCGAGTATGTTTGATTAGCTTGAATTTTTATGGCGATGATTTTTTTAATTAATTACTTAAAGTGTTTACCAACATATAGATGTTCCAAGTGATAGCACGCGGAATGGATAAAGTCTGTCAGATGTGGCTGTGGTCATCACGCAAATCAGAAAATGTGAAAAGGCATAAAACTTTTGTTTGCGGTTTCTTCCTGTTAAAACAGTATCTGACGGAATTTCTAATGATTATTATCAAACCAAGACCAAGTGTTGAATTTACCTAAAATATACCAACCATCGGCGGAATTTGTAATCGCCGGTGTTTGTAACCAAAATATACAAATAATCATCAAAACTTATGTCCAATAAATCTGTTGTATGTTCGAAAAATAAACTATACGTCTTCAAAATAGTGGATGTGTCACCAAATTAGTTGTATCCGAATCATATTTATTCTGATGTGACACTAACATAGAAGGAACAATTAATTAGTTCAATAATCAGCATAATAGAATTTATCCATAATTATCATCTAAATTATTTGCCTCACTACGTTTGGAAAAAGAAACGTTCAGCTTTACTTTTACTCCTAATAACATAATACATTCCTATATTATTATTTATTTATTTATTTATTTATTGTAAAAAAATTAAAATATCTAAAAAACTGTATTTTATTTAAATACCTATTAATAGAGATATACCGGTGTTTCGAAATAATTACAAATAGTCATCTAATAGATTAAAACAATAACTACCAGGTGAATAAAAAGTATGGAGACAAACGTTTTATGCTTTATTTTTTAGAAAAACTAATTAATGAATGATAAAGTACCTACTAGAAAAATGTGACGTTTTATCAAAAATAAGATTTTTCGAAATTTTGTTTCGTTTATGAGTTTTTCAAAAAAAAATATTTTTTTAAATGACAACCCACTATGAAACAATTTTTTTCATGAAGGTTATGATCTAAGAATTTCAACTATCTAAGTACTTTATATTTAATTTTTATAATTGTTTTTACAAAAGTTGTTTTGATAAAAAAATCCTATACCTAACTCAAAAACAAAACAAAGTTTTATTATCAAAATACGATCACATTTTTATATTACTTTAATTTATGTATATTAATTATGATTTTCTYGAGGCAAGTAATTTTTCAAAAAACGCTTAGTTCTATGCTTTATATTCACCCTGTACTCGTAGGTAAAAGAACAAATCTACTTCTAAATACAATTTCCATAAAACAGATAGTCATTTTGAAACAATTTGGTGTTCACAAGTTAGTGACAGAACTATCATTCTGAGAACAAATCTAATTATTTAATCTCTAAAAATCGAATAAGTTGACAGTTTTTAGAAGATTGGTCAAATTTATTATTAACGTACGTGTTTACTATGACCTTCTGGCTTTGTTTATTAATAATTATTTCACACTAGAACAACACTTTTGTCTTGTTTTATGACTTAGATATACCGATATCCCATTAAAATACAAACGTTACATGACCGGCGTTATCAATTTCTAGAAGAAAACGGTGTCATGGCATAAAATTGTATTTATAACTTTGTTTACGCAAATTGTGCATATTATCTTCGAATTTTTCCTGTAATTCTTCATTTTCCTGCTTTCACATGAAGGATAAAGTTTCAATTTTACTGTATTCAGGAATTTCTGCACCCATCTCTTTCTTATTCGTGTACTTTCATAACTGAGCTCATAAATCCAGCGAAACTATTCCTACCYGTTTATTCAAACTTGTCCTAGTAACAACTTTCTTCGTGAACTTTTTTATGTACTTACTTAAATTATCAAAAATCGGTTATTTTCAGCTTCGTTACAGAAGGAATGCATTCAAATTATTTAAATTGCATCACTTAACTAAAGTGCAGATAAATCCACTTTCTCTTTCGGTTAAACTATATATCTAATGGTGACAAACTAACCGTTAAACAAGTTAAAAATTTTAATGTTATTTGAGCTATTTGATATGCAACTTTGATAGCCAATATCGTTTTTATTTCCTAATTGGATTAAGTAAATTGGACAAGGATTGATCGGTTGCTAGAGTCGAACATTTGTCACGTGCTCACGATTTTATTGTCTACATTCTTCAACATTTTCCTAAGAATCGCTGTTCATGTGCGATAATGATGAGTTGGTAACAAATTCTCGCAATTACTCTCTGATAATTGAAAAATTAGCAATTAGGATTGAAGCAGACTGCATCAAATTTAGTTCATTTATGGCTTATTACATGAGTTACTGGTGTATAAAATTATTATAAAAAATAGGTACACGTCATTTTTGATCACTTTGTGTAAGTGTGACCACTGACCAGTAATTATGACATAATATTAATAACAGAGATTTAAATTTAGTTTTTTAACAAAGAGTGATTTGCTTACAAGCTTATAGACAATACGTTGGAAGAAATTTATTTTCTATATTTAGATAATGTGTCTGGCTATATTTTATTTACAAGACAACGTCATATTCGAGGGAAAAATTTTGCAAGCATTTCTTATAGTAGATAAGTGTTTGAAATATCTCGTACTCTTTTATATCTAAACTTTGTAAATAAATATTATGATGGAAACAACAACAGTGAAGAAATTGATGAGACGAAATAAACGATGCAGCAAAGATAACTAAAGAAAAATTATGCTATGTTTAGGAATTTAACATTTTTTTAAACSCCAATATGAGGACTTAAAATACCATTCCGCTGAAATARTGAACGAGTGGAGTTGTTTTTGTGTGAATTCAAGCAAAAAATTGACAACACTTTTGATTTATAAACGTTATTCGGCCGCACTATAAATAATGAAAGGAGTAATGACAAAAAATCTATCTCAGATCAGATCTTGTCCGGCACTCATTTCGCTTTGCTGAATCTATTATAAGAAGCAAAAATTTACCCATTTTGCTAAAAGGATCATCATTCCACGTTTATTACGTTGTGTGTTAAAAATATCTAGTTTTAGTGTTGGAAATATGCAAATATTGTGCTAATTTCAAACCTAATTTATAATTTCAATTTCACACCAAATACTTAAACAGTCCCGCTGAAAGTTKTATTCACTTTAATTATAATTTTATTCCATATTTGATGCTAGCTTGAACATCAGTTTTACTTTTAGTGAAAAGTGTTTGTGMTTGTATTCCTGAACCCTACATAACAAAGTTTCTTTAAATTAATTTCTCAAAACAAYCATTTACCCCATTTTATTCAACCCGGAAAATAGTTTCAGTCAATTCGTTTAAGTGAATTTATGTTGCAGAAATTCCGAACATTTCCCATGAAAGCGTCTGTGGAATCTAAAACTGTCATGTCTTAACATAGTATGTGGTAAACCGAAACATGTCAGAGACAAAATTCAAAAAGTAAATTTTGAATTAGAGCATGGCAACTAATTATCTGAGGACTATGAATAAAACATTTGGAACGTTACTTTGGTTTGTTAATAAACTGAAATATTCAGCGGCTCTATGAAAACAAATAGAATTACCAGAGTGTAAAATTCGCATTCTTATTCAAACGAGAACCTAGAATCACTTATCAGACCCCGAAATGTCACAATTTCAAAAAAAGCTTTCGGTCTTAATTAGCAAAATTGTTGCAAACAAACGTAAATATAACTTATCGTAAGTGACTCACCACACACTTATATATACCTTTTTTGCCTTGAAAATTATTTAAATTAGTGGAAGCTACAAGTAAAACAGTACTAACTTGCACCATGATGAAAGCTTTTGCCCTGTTTATTTTCATTGCTTCGACTCTAACGTCAAATGCACAAACTCCAGCAGGTAGGTACAAAATTGATAACACTTCAGTTATAAATAAACCTCCTAAGGTGTAACTTATCGCTGTTTTGGACAAATATGCCCCGTTTCCACCGTCCTATGTCAGAGACTCCAATACACCGTGGCAAATAACACATTATTACAGACGGAAGTTGACTGTCTTGATGATACTTGTAAGTTATTAAAATCCAATTAAACAGATTTTAAAATTTAAATTTCAGTAACGACGGTTAATTCTTTCAATAACACTCGACCTAACCCTTTTGGCGCCGACTGGAGCTTCCAGGGCCTTACTGTGGCTAATGTGGTAGTAGGGTTTCAGAAAAATGTGTCAACTGTTACTCCTATTTCTTCGAGTGTTACTCCAACTGGAAGAATAAGGAACACTACTTCTAGAACGACTACAAGATCCTAAGTTTGGTAAAATACGAAGTGTAGTTAGATTCAATAAAATTGTGATGATTTAGTATTTGTGTTCCCTTTTTATAAACACCGCTACAACTCAGTTTTAAATTTCTGCCCAAAAACAAAATATATGCTGACTCAAGAAGTCTGTTTTGTCCCAGTTTCCCCTAGCTACTAAGTTTATTTTACTTTCATTAAAATAATGGATATTTGCAATTAAATATCATKAAATTTTCTGCTGCTTAGCMAAATAAGAAGCATCATGYAACAAATGATTTTATCATATGATGCGTTAATTTGGGGCGGYTAATAAGTATGCCAAAGTAGCAATTTGWTMTTTAAATTTTATTTTAATTATTTTAATAGTTATGTGAGAGAATTTCAAACGGAATATTTCTAAATTTGGTGATTCCAAATTTGAAAACCTATGTTAATAAAAATACATGATTATGCAAAATTATTCTTTTTGGTTTCTGTTCGTATTTTTTATAATAACCACAATTATTTTAGCATTATTCCTTCTCTTATTTTGTTGTCATGAGTGACTGCACACAGATATAAGGATTTCACACACCTGTTTGTAATTTTCGGTAGATAAATAAATGTGGATTGAAAAAATTAATTTAAAATGAAGTGGACAGACCAAAAAAGGAAGTAATTGAACAGTTTATTTGAGTTTGAGTCAGCAGAAACATAAGTGAAAAGAAATTTTACAGAACATCTCGTTAAATACTTTTTTTAATTACAAATTGAAACAGATATGAGACAAAGAGTTGCCGACGCTAACTATACAATTTCAAAATAAATAACAAAAGTAATAGAATTTATAAAAACTTATCTGATTAAACATCTGCTTACATAGTAAAACTCGTTAAAATGTTTATGTTTTATTCGGGAAATAATACACAACATCTTTGTGTAGGTTGCTTATAATAAACTAATATTTGACTACAATTTGATTTTAAAAATTTACATAAAACAAACTTTTGTTTATATTGCCTTCACAAAAGGTTATCCATCAATATTATATTCAAACACCGGATTTTTATAACCTTCAACCTCCCAAATAATCTTCGAAGAAAGAGGAGTGCACAACAAAATTCATTTTCTTTTAAGTAAATTTAAATCACTATTTTTTCAATCCAAAATAAATCTCAAAAAATCAGTAATTAAAATTTAGAAACCCGATAACCTTATTTTGAAAATTCAGTGTCAAAGGGTCATGAACTTTATTCAAGTCTCAATGCAAATGATAAGTTCCTATATCTAGTTGAAGAAAATAAATTCTCCAGTATTTAGTTGTCGACAGTCAATTGAGTCGGAAAAAAAATGTCAAAAACTGTTTTAGTGCTTTTAGTGGCGGTGATCGCTCAGTGTTTCAGCCAACCTGTCTTTCTTCACGGCACGTATTGTATTACATAATATTTTTTTTTAAGATACTGAATTGATAACTATGTAAACGCTAGCTACATTTTTGTAGAGTATAAGAACTCTAAATTTTTGCTAAACATACATAAACTATTAGAAATGTTGCTACCGGTCTAATACCGTAAATTTTTGATAATCATTGTTGCCAACAGACACCGTTAAATGCTACGAAAGGGACTGTCCTGGAACAACWGTGGCTTGCAAAAAAACTATAAAYACAAGTGATGACAAAAAGATTTTGTCAACGATTATTGCTTGTTTAGATGCACAAGGTAAAATTTTACAGGTTTTTGGAAYAGTTTACWTTATGGAATTTTAGATATGACWTTGAAAGACTTCAGAGAGGATGTAGAAAATCCTTTTGGTCCATCGACAACATTCTACAGCTCATCGTTTTCGGGAACTTACGTCTCTCACAGCAAAGGGCCAGTTAATGTAAACATTAATAACGAGGTTGACCCAATAAACAATGTAGAAACACTTGATTAAAAATTTCTAAGAATAAATGCAGTTTATTTTATTTATAAATACTTGTGATTTTAATACTAAAGACAGGATGTGGCTAACTGAGACAAACCAGATATTCTCCATTTTGAGTAGTATACCTTACCCAAGTTAAAGCCTTATAATTACTCTTCTCAATCACTTTCATATACTTAATCTGTAAACCAGAAATGGTAAAATATGGGATCATAAATTTAACTTGTATGGGTTTCTTGTCGTCCCTTTCTTCAGCTCGTATCGTCGAAAGTTTAAAATAAACGTGCAGAACGCTCTCCCTCCCTCCCGGAAAATACTTGATCCTCCACACCACCGCCGCCTTTTCCGGGACATAACTCGCCATCCCTGTCGTCGTCTTAAAAACCGGCGAATCAACATCCTGACAAACCGGCAAAGTCACTTCCAGATTATTCGCCGTCGAAGCGGCCTTAAACTGGGCACTGACTTTGACCACGTATTCTATACTGCTCACCGACCCCTGGACCACTTTACTCCTGACCAAAATCAGAGGCCTAATCTCCGTATTCATCCGATACGACATCAGCTCAAAGTCGCCATCGGGTGGAATAAAGTAAACGTTTTTATCGCAAATCCGCGATAATTGGACGCATTGGTGGAACTTAACATCCTCGAAAGTGGCCGATTCTCCGCTTGAATTTATTGCCGAAAGAATCTTGTCGCTCAAGCCTAATCTTAATTGGGGCATTCCGGACAAATGTACCTTCATTTTTACGCAACCGATGACTTCGTTTCGAAGGATGGCGCCGGAGGAATTCACTGATAAGTTTACCGATTCGATTACGTCGATAAACAGCTCGTTGCGCCGGTATTTTATGCCTTCGGGCCGCCACGAGACCACGTTTGTCACCACGGCCGGAATCGTTGCAGAGTTTTTCAACTTGTAACTCTCTTGGAAGATGTACGTCTGGAGGATTTTCGAATCGGTGGTTTGCGGGTAGCCGAAATCCATTATCTCGTCCAACAACTCGTACAGAATCACAAAGTTGTCGCGGATACTTTCTTCTTCGAGTTTGTTGAAGTATTGGGTCGCTATTTGAATAAACTTGTACAAGAAAGTGAAAACTAGGGTAATGTTTGCGTTTTTCTTCATTATACTGATTATATACAAGCCCTCGTGTTTTACATAAGCAAAAGAAACTCCGTCATGATGAAGCAGAGGAGATGAATTTCCTACTTCTTCTTGTTGGTTTAATAAAGAAAAAAATTTCTCGATTATTTCCTTGTCGACATCTCCGCGATAATCTCGAGATATAAGAACTATTCCATTTGAGTCTAAAATAAAAAACGAGGAAAGGGCCATTTTGACAACAATATGACGTCTCTCATACTTCCAGTTGAAATTTTGTCACTCATTTTAATAAAATAAAAAAAATTATACAAAAAGAAGGGCTAAAAGAAAACATAATAATTGAGAGTAATAATCATAATTAAATCTTTTATAAAATACTTTAATAATTTAATATAGACAACCAAATATACCAACAAAATCTAGTATGGATTTTACACGGTATGGATATGCAATAAAAAACGCTGCGCATGCTTAAAAAGAAAGAGAATAAAAGCGTTTAAAGCCTATCACCACAATGTATCCAACAAAGAAAGATAGATATACTAGAATTATTAGAAAATGTCAAAATCGATGTAAATACTTGTGAGGAAAATAGTACGCAGTTCCTCCTTAAATTTTATCTCATAAACGATTTATTGTTACTTATTGTGAGCTTTTTCTACTGAAAATGGAAAATCTGCGGTGAGTTTCATTCATTCATGTAGGTTATCTTGTCATTTGTCTTTTTAGCTTATACCTGGGCACCTACAATGTGGGCACTAGCACACCTGATGTGAAACTGAACTCGTTATTAGGTTTGCCTGATGACCACAAAAATGACAAATTCCAACCACCAGATCTTTACATTTTGAGTTTTCAAGAAGTGAAAGCTCAGCCTCAAAATATGCTTCTTGACGCTCTGTTTGACGACCCATGGACTTATGCRTGCAAYGAACTGCTTGACACCTTTAATTACGTTAAAATTAAGTCAGTTAGGCTTCAGGGTTTGTTGCTCAATGTTTATTGCCTCAGGAAACACCTTCTCAATGTTAGGGAAATTGAGTCTGAGTATACGAGGACGGGGTTATCAGGAATGTGGGTTAGTTGACGCTTTTAACAATTTTTTTGGTAGTTGTTTCACTCGTGTATTTTTAGGGTAACAAAGGTGCAGTTAGTGTTAGACTCAGTATTTATGGCTGCTCATTATGTTTTGTGAACTCCCACCTCAGCGCCCACGATAATCAGCTCAAGGATCGCGTTGAGGATTACAACAATATTATTAAAGATCAAGAGTTTCACGTTGACGAAACCACTGAAATATTTTTTCATGATTATGTATTTTGGATGGGCGATCTTAATTTTAGACTGTTAGAAGAGTATGAGCAGACTCCTGAAGAGATTGAAAGGGATATTGCAAAAAATGAGTTAAAGAAGCTTTTTACTTTTGATCAGTTGAGATATGTTATGAGGAAAGGGGAAGCTTTTAGCGAACTTGAAGAAAAAGATCCAGAATTTCCACCAACTTTTAAATTTGAAGTGGGAACCAACAAATACGACTACAAGTAAGTCAGATCATGCCATACAAAAGAATGTTGCTCAAATCTCGTTATTATTTTGGCGTTGTTTTAATCGACTGTTATCTGTAACTTTCCTAGATATTCATTTGGGGTTGTCAATGTTGTATGTCTCTGGGTATAGTATAGTGATACTCCAAATAACATACTATTTTATCCATAAACTAATAACGCTTATAAACAAACATTAACTCGTACATGACTAGTGCAGTTAGTAGTGCAAAATGTCGGATACTGATGATCTACAATGTACCTCTCCAGAAATTGCTGAAGCAGCGAAAGAGACAAGAAAGAAACAAACATTAGTAAATTAAAATCATAAAAGTGGGCACTTTTGTGACGTTTGCGTATAAAGTAAATTATGGTGTAGCTAGCTTCGGTTAGTTTTGGTAAAAATGGACATAGTCTCTTATATCTCCCAGGTACAGTACTTTTATTTTACACAAGAAAATGTAGTAAAAAGTTTCCAAAGTTGTCCTAATACACAAGTAAGTGACAATTAATTTAATTCTGAATTAAATATTTGCTATATTCATTACTATGTAAAAATTTTCAACAGTAATATCACAAAAAAAATGAGAATAAATTGGAAAATAATTTTCCAAGTTTAATTGGACGAGGTAATGAAAGAAAATAATTATAACATAATGTTAACTGTTAACTACACAWTTAGAAGTACATAAATTAAAATATGTAGAATGATGACATCAACATTGTCTGTCCACTCTGTAAAATCWTAATCAGGATAAACGWAACTATTTTCGCTTTTTTAAATTGTAGCTCGTTTACATGAAAATAATTACCTTAAAACTAATAAACGAGTAGTCAAAATTGTAAAATTTATATTAGGGAGTGAGTGGAAAGATAAAGGTAAGTTTTCTTTATGTATCTAATTTCTGAGTATAATAGCAATTATTTCATCTGTTGAAAATTTTGTATAGAATTTTATTTAATAATCCTGTTATCACTGTTTGACGATATCAAATATTAAAGCAGGACGGATATAGGTATTTAGGTTGTAAATGTGCGAAGTTAATTGTAAAATAAATAAAGGTATAGCCAGGATTTTAAGGTATTTTTGCGCTGTTTTTGGTTTGTTTAGTAAATTATGTATACTTACTATCTTATAAACCTTACAAATAAAGGCTGTATCAATTTAAGAAATACCTACATACAGTGCGATCAAAAAAAAATTTCTATCAACTAGGACGTATGTCGCATGGCAGTTAGTATGTTACCTAGATGTCAAAAAATTATTTTATAAAAATAAAAATATTGATCTAAGCAAACATAAACGTCTCAAAACATAAAATGAAATGTTGGTGTTTATTCATAATTTACATGAAAATTATTTTGGCATTTCTCATTTTTTGTCATTAGGACATTTTATCTTTCAAGACATTTCTACGCTTGCTTGACAGAAGGACTTTTTGATTTTGATGTATAAAAACTGGCTAATATGAACATCGACGAGTTGAATTTGGATTTATGTAAAAAATAAATATTTTGAAAACATTTCTAGATGATGGACACACCTTTGCACCGATATCTTTTTATTATGGTAATTCCATTTTACGCAATACCAGGCAAGCGCCGAGTGAAGAAACATTTAATCGCCTTAAACCTATTTTTAGATTTATTTATCTTAGCTAGACATTTAATTGAAAAAAAAAAAATTTTTAACAACGCGTTGTATGGTTTGCGGAATAAATATTGTTTTTATAGTTTAAAAATAGAATAGAATAAAAATTGTATCATCTACATACAGGATGATTTTGAAATATACGGACGACACTATTTTACACCCATACATTTTGAAGGTACAATAAACTATGAAAAATATGCGTTTCTTAAAATATGCTATCATAAGGGAGAAAATCGTTATGAAAATTACTCTCAAAAGGTGATTACGCAACTGACTCCAAAAGGATTTTTTTTTTAAATCTGGCTAAAACCAACTTACTTTCAAAGTTATAGAACACAACGGTCATACTTTTATATATTTATAACTTGATTCTATTTCTCTAGAATATTCTGGATTGTCTTCTTTTTCACTCCAAAAGGAAAATTTTATTTTTTTAAATCTGGCTAAAACTGAATTACTTTCAAAGTCATAGGACACAACGATCATAAATTTATATGTTTATTACTTGATTCTATTTTTATAGAATCTTCTTCTTTTCCTCGTAAACCTCCACTATAATCTTCAGTTTTGCTTTACAAGTCGACTTTGAATAATTTTCTTCTTAGGCGTCGACCAGCATGGTGCGATCGAATTCTGTACAGCGTAAACCCTCACAACTACGAAAACGTTACCCTCAAAGTCGACCAATTGTCCTACAAACATCATCCTTCATATCAACTCAGCGACCACAAACCGGTCACAGCCGAGTTCAATATTAAGGTGTGTATTTTCATGAAAAAAGTCAGCAACATAGTCATTAACGCTTTCGCGGGAGTGTTGGTTCAGCTTTGCYTCATTTCATTCTTCATCAGTATATAAAGTGGCCATGTTGTTACTTATCAGATCCCAGCTAAACATTTGAAGCTTTCAACGCGTGTCTCCGTTGACCAGGTCTTTTCAGATTATTCTGAACGAATTGTTGAGTTCGATAAGATTGTCAGTTGGAATCAAGATGAGGAGAACAAGGCGAAATATAAGATCACCAAGGATATTCCGGCTACTAAGGACGACTGGATTGGATTATTTAAAGTAATTTCTTGTAATTATAACTTAAAATAATAATTGTGCTGGTTTTAGGATAATTTCAGTGGTCTGGACGATTACGTGACTTATGAGTATGTGAGTAAATGCGCCTCGCCGACGCCTGAGAAGAAGAGTCCAACTGGAAGTTCATCTAAGAATGAACAGAAATACGAAATTACGTTTTCGGAATTACCGAATCGATGTAGAGGCAATTATTGCTTGGTTTATTTCAGCCAGTCTGAAGATAAAGTCATTAGTGTGTTGGGAATCAGCAATAGTTTCCCTATCGTCAAGAATGATAGCGACTAGAAAATGGCCTTTTTAATTGTTATTTAGTTTTATTTTCCTACTTTGAAATTTTATTTTTGTTAAGTAATTGTGCCTTGTACAACTTTCCATTTTTGTTATGAAAGGGAGTATCCTGTTGTTTTTATTGTAACGCTGTGAACAAGTTTTTATATTTTTATGCCAGAGGTAGTCGAAAAAACACTTTTTCAACCTCCACAATTCAAGATACCTTACCTACAATAGTATTTGTCAAAACTGAGCCTTTATTATGTGATACGTATTTAGGCGACCATTGTTTTACTGAATTACGTTTTATATGAAATACAAAACTATAAAATAAAACGAAAGTTGCGTTTTATAGTATTTGGCTATTGAGTTATTATACAGGGTCGCAAAAAAGTACATACTTTAAATTTCCACTCTGATTTCTTTCTAGTAGATTAATTTGATTTTGAAGAGCATTTTTTATTCAGACATGCAACACATTTGAATTAAATTGAAAAGAAATTTAAAAAGTAGTGTTTTTTTTATAAATGATGTTCAAGATGCCTCTCCTGTATATTTTTTATGGAATTTTAAACTCTCTGTTTGTGAAATGTGATTTAATATCTGTGGTGTACTAATTAGAAGCTAGGAATGTAGCAAAATATTCAACTTTTAAATTAGGACTAACACCAATTAGAAGAAATGATGAAACTTAAACATGACATGATATTTTATTTAGGCAATGTTCTCATCTATCGCTTATTAAGATAATTACTCTACAACAATGTAATCACCTTACTATAAATTCGGAGTTCTACTTAAGTATTTAAGTCACAAAAATGGTAACTCACTCTCTAAAGTATAATTCTGTGGCCAGGAGGTCCAGCATTTAAATATTTTTAAATTAAATTGTGTATATTTTCTGTGATAGTTTTTATTTTCGCAGATCGTTTGCTGAAGCAGCTGTATTAAACATTAAAGTCTGAATTAGATGCTTATTGTACAGTGATAGATGTTTATGCAAAATTGTTGTATACTTCAAATACATTTAAAGGCTTTTGAGGGAAAAATAAACTATATTCTCCTAAACCCGTTTTTTATTATTCTTCGTGGGGGTCGACACAAAACGCCTAAAAATCATGAAACGAAGGATTCGGGAGAAAATGAAGACTAAAAAAGACATTTATTTTTATTAAATAATTAAGAAGTAACAAAAAACTAAAATTAAAATTTCTATAGAATTAGGATATGGACATAAAACGAATTCTAAATAATAATGGAAAATTCTACATAGTTATTGACCAATCTTCGTGTGTGATTGCTAGATTGGATAATAACTAATAAATAAAATACAGGGTGTTTGCCGATAACTAGCAAATATGCATTCTAACCACTGAATTTGTTATAAGGCAATATCAAGACCAAACAAATTCACTATCCAACAATTTTTTTGCATTTTAAATGTAAATAAAACGTATTTTCGGCAAAAGTTGGAAATAGAAAAGTTGTTTCTTGACGAATTCTAGAATATTTGCTAGTTATCACCCTGTATAAAATGTTTGCAATGAAAATATGATTAAATAAATAAATAACATCACAGCAGGAAGACGCATATTAGTTTTGTACAGTTTTAAGCATTTGGCATTTTSAAAATTACATTGTCGATAGCACAAAAACCAGTCCTAACAACGAAGCACTCAGTTTATCTTTCCCATCATAAATTCTTCCTCTTTTGGAATATTTTGATGCTTCCGTCGTCTTCTTTTTGCGATACTTTTTCGAATCTCTTTTCTTGTTTGCTCATTCAGAACGAAAAGTAATAAAATAAAAATTCCTTGAGTTGCCTCAAGTATATCAACTACTAATAACACACTATCATGGCCATAACTTAAAAAAATCACTAGATCAAAAATCCTTAACGATGATGTTATAACAAGAACCAATAAATGTTTTCGCCACCTACAAAATTCGAGAAATTTACTAAATCACAAAACTAGAGACAGATAACGCGATATAAGTGTCGTGCAAGTTAGTAAATATGTAGAGATAAGATGATTAGGCGAGTTAACTCGATGATTTGTCATGAAAATTTAGAAAATTATACTGAATCCAGCCCAATGATACAACTATAGTTACCCTGTCGTTTAATTTTTGGCGCTAGTGATAACACGATAACAAGTAATATTTACCCTATTCGTGACTATTTTGGTTTAAAGAATTCATTTCTACATCTGAATGTATTCTTTGTCGTCGTGTGTCCAAATAAGCAGTACCGTAATGATGCATAGTAAAAACAGCGACAATTAGAACACCTTGTGATGCTTCAAAGATGACTGCAGCTTTAAGAATGCCGCTAGACTCATCTAAGAAACTCATTAAAACATTCGAGATCCAAGAAATAGTCATTATCACTGCAGTAAGAAAACATTGCCTAAACCTGCAACAGATTAGGCGTGCAGGAAAGACAAGTCTTATCAGATGAATAAAGAGCGAAAGAAGCACCATGCGAATGTATATACAGCGATAATAAGTGGGCCCAAAGCGTGTTAGTGTCAAAAATTGTAATTTCTACTTACATGAACTTAAACTTCCTTCCCTCTTCCATCCAAAAATAGTCGTTTAATTTTGTACGATCGTGCTTTACGATTTCGTGTTTTGCTACAGCAAGAGAAATGCCACTTACGATCATTGAAACAATTATAGGAAAATAAAAAAGTATAACTCGTTGGTCTTCAGCTGAAAAATTGTTTCAAAACAAGAAATCAACAATCTTTTGTTACCTTCAAAGTAGCAAGTATTAGTTTGATATTGAGGCTTGAAAAACGAATTTGGCACATCTGGTGTGAGATTTCGAATTAATGAAATGATCAAGAAAATCACAGGAGTCACAATGCCAATAACTAGTGACCAAACTTTCCGTTTTCTTGGTTCGACATCATTGTTAATGTACTTAATAATAATGCAAATGTCAACACATAAAATTGCTAACATGACAAAAGACGCAATCATGAATAACTGGAAAATAAAACCTGCAACAATGTTAAAGAAAAAATTTTATAACGTTTTTTATACCTACCCAAAACTGAACATCCACTGTCTTCCACATGTCCCAATTGGACTATAGTCAAAGAAAGAAAAACTGCAGTCATATCAAAGACATAAGCAGTAAACAATATCCTGTGGACGTCTTCAATGTGTGACAAAAAGAAATAAATGATGAAAGTGGCAGCAAGGCAAAGCGTCGAGATAATTGTGACTGGAAAACCAAATTAAGTTTTTCGTTTTGCAAAAAGAACTTAGTTACAAGTAATATAAGTGTAACACATTGCTTTCTGTATTTGGGCTTCCGGGGCACAAACAAAAACTTTCATTTGTATCAAATCATTCTCTTCTACGTTTTCTAAACAAAAGTTCTCTTGTGACCAAATCCCTTTCCCTGCAGCTCCTTTAAGAAGTAGAGAGCCATTGACCAGTAGAGCGAATTCTTCATTTGATTGATCTAAAGGAAATCTATAATAGGGTAGTAAACCCTCCCATTTCATCTAAATGAATCACTTACTTTCCAGCACGACACTCCATTGTGGAAGCGTATATTTTAAACTCAACCAGACTCAAATCCAGAGATTCATTTTTAAAATGTGTTTCGTTGTGTTCGTAGATGTTAAAATTAGGTCGAAACTGAAACTGACCCTTATCTTCACATCCGTTACTGGTCATGATGGTAGAAGAGGGGCAGCATTTTGGTACAATTAACAACATATTTTCTTCAAGTGATGTTTTTGTTTTTTGYACAACTTCTGGTGCCTCACTGATTCCTTTAATAGGGACGTACCCTAGGCTAATTGCCTCGTCAKTTGACCAAACGGCCAAATAATCTATATTGTCAGTGGTCACACCTTCTGGTAAATGAAGGTTCACATTTTGCCCCTGGTACGGCCCAAGACTTTCCGAAGAGTTTTTCTCGTCTAAAAGAGCAACTCCGTCGGAGGATGGCTCGCTACCGTTGCCAARCCAAAACCGCACATTTTTATGATCCCCCTTGTAGCGYAAATTCGGAATAAAAAGAGTCTTTTTGTTGACTAATAATACCYGACCGGAAGTAACTTCATTGTCGAAGTTGAACGTTTGAGGCGATGATGGTATATTCTGCAAAAAATTGGTCACCAAAATTGTACTAAACTGGCCGCCAAAATTTACCAACTAAAATTTTGCGATTTTTTACATTGCAATTTTTGTACGGCTTAAAGAACGAACTTTGCAGAACATTGTAATTTAATTCAAAAACATTTCTAGTTTTGTCTTGTAAATGTTATAATTAAAAGGCGAGAGCACTGATTTTTTACTTTTTTTATACTGAGCTTTAGTGTGCACCAGAGCCAAATTAAGTTTTTACTTATCTCAGATTATTGTCCCTTCTTTTCTGAATCAGGATCAATTTGTTTTTTTTTTTTTTTCTTCTGGTGCCCTAGAGATACAAAGCATTGAAAAAGACGTTGCTTTTCTAATGTTGTTCAGAAAGTAGGCTGCATACGAGTAGAAAGGTAGTTAAACCGAAAATTATTGCTTATGTCACTAAAAGAGCACGATTACGTTTTTGAAACAAAAAATATGAAAAACTTGGAACTTCAAAGAATTACAACAAATAAAATGCGCCTATTTTGACGTTTTGACGTTTTTTACTTAATACGAACATTCATTGAAATCGGAAATGTAAGTAATGCTTTTTTAAAATGTCTCAAGAGTTAAAATTATGGAAAATGTGGTGCATAATTCAGAAAAGAATGGGCAATAATCTGAAATCAGTAAAAACTTAAGTATGCCTCTGTTGCACACCACAGCTCAATATAAAAATAAGTTAAAAAACAGTGCCTTCGTCTTTTGAGTATCATAAGATAAGACAAAACTAAAAATGTTATTGAATTAAATTACGTCAATGATTACAGTTTTTTCTTTAAGCCAAATAAAAATTCGTCGAAATTCGACAAAGAATAACAAAAATATTGCAATGTGAAAAATCGCAAAATTTTAATTGTCCGGTTAATTTTGGCGGCCAGTGTAAATTATGGGTTTTGAGTACTTTTGTTAGAAATACAAAGCCTAATTTCTTCTGGGTCGTGGGAGAGAAAACTGCCAACCAATCGATGTCAAGTACTGTTAAGTTACCAGGAAGAGTCAAGTCAATATCTTCGTTCTCTAACGGGGGAAGATTGGCAGAATTTTCAGAGAAAGGTACCACAGTTCCAATTTCAGAAACGACGCCTTTGCCGACTAAGAAATGGGCGTCAGGAACTTTTCCGTCAAAAGAAAAATTGGTTATGTGAAGGGTGTTGTTTCCGGTTATCACGATTTTTCCGGAAGTGACATCAAATAACTGATTAGAAAAACCATCAATTGATGTCGAAATATTCTGGAAAAAATTTCATCAATTATCAGATAAAATTTATGTGATTAAAAGAACAAACATTTGTCGCAGATAAATAAAACTACAGTTGCAAGATATTCCTCGCAGTATAATATTCTACAGTTGCCAGATATTCCTCGCAGTATAATATTTATTTATTTTAGACTTTTATTTTAGAAACTTTTGAATCGAAACGATGTTACACATTTTTCAGAAGATTCTTTTTATTTATTATGAAATGAAATTGACTAATATAGGAACACTTTATAATTAAAAAAAATTAAACGTAGGTATACAAGTATGTCTCCGGATTGGGTTTACAAGAGGAAAAAAAAATTTATCTTTGATTTTACGGCAAAACTTCAAAGGAAAAACATTTTTTGTTTTACCTGAAACAAGCAAATCTGTACTTAAAACTTCATTATTTTAACTCAGTAGAAAGAAAAGTTAATTTTTCTCTTGATTTTTGACTTAAAATATGCATTTTTTAATTGACTTATTTTAATCAAAAAACATTAGACATGCATAGAAAACTTACAATTTCGTTGATATACCTCTTAATAACAAATATGCATTTTGCATATACTCGTAATCCGAGCCTTACTGATAACAGTGATAACACAACATATTTGCATATTTATATTTGATTGCATTTCTGTGTATTTTCTCTGCCCACTTTCTACACCTGCATGTTTACGTTTCTATTAACATTTCTATCTAGGTAATACCTAATAATTAAGAACTAATTTTTATTAAGATAAGTCTAAATATACAGTATGTCCCCGGATTGAGTTTACAAGAGGAAAATTTTTTTTATCTTTGATTTTACTCCAAAACTGCAAAGGAAAAATGTTTTTGCTTTACTTGAAACCAGCAAATCTGTAATTAAAACTTCATTATTGTAACTCAGTAAAAAGAAAAGTTCATTTTTCTCTTGATTTTTGACTTAGAATAATTTTTGTCTGCTTTATAAGTCCTATCCCATTGGCGGTTTCATTATTTTGACAATGATGTCACTTTGACAAATGAGTTTTCACAAGTTAAATAACGAAAAACATAATTTTAACAAATAGCAACTCAAAGAAACAGCTTTAAGATAACAACCAAAGTCATTTTTTTAACAAGAACTATCATTATTTAATTAATAAATTAATTATCAAAGTTGTCAAATAAATAAAACCGCAAATGTGATAGGTCTTAAAAAGCACTAAAAAATTATTCTAAGTCAAAAACCAAGAGAAAAATTAACTTTTTTTTCACTGAATTGAAGCAAAAAATGTTTATCCTTTGCAGTTTTGGCGTAAAATCAAAGATATTTTTTTTTCCTCTTGTAAACTCAATCCGGGGACATACTGTATATTATAATTTTTTTAGCAAATTAATAATTGGTACAATATTAATATTAATCGCTCAAATGCCCAGCTTCTAGACGCTTAATAACAGGTATGAAAATAAATGAAATATTTTTGATTAGGTAAACTCGAGGTAAACACAAATATGTTTCAAGTTTAATTATTCCTTAACATGTGTAGATTACACAATACATTATCCAAGGCCAAGTAATATGCATAATATTTTTCTCTAAATAGCTAGCATGCAATGTTTTTAGTTTTAATGATTATCAGAAATAAACACAGGAACTCTAAGAAAGTTATTTACAATAAGTATTAAAGAAAACTGATGCTAAGATTACTTGTGAATCACGTCTTATGTTTAAGTCAATAATTTAAGAACACTGTTTATTGGTGTAAATTAGAATGAACAATACGGTAGTTAACATTTTGACTATTGACCTAAATTGCTATGATTTGCATCACGACCTGAGACAATCTAAAAGTAGCTATGAGCAATTTAAATATTTGAATTGAATGATAAGAATATTCACTTCAATGGCCGGGACAAAATGTGGAAGGTGATAATATTGCCATTTATGATTTATTAAGTTATTAAATTTATTACACCTGAGATAATGACTAAACCCTAAAACATCAAATAAGAAAAAGGAAGCTATAATTTAAGTAAAAATTTGGATAAAATAAGATGGTTACTTTTATTAAAAAAAATAGAATTTAGATATTGGCTACTACATGAGTAGAAACTAACAAGATTAGTGTTACATACACATTTGTTATTTATTTTTATTTTTTCTACTTATTGTTTTTATTTCTTTATTTATTTTTTTATTATTTAGTACATATTTTCGCAGAAAGTTATTTTGGATTCATTAAATAGTACGTATATGGTCATGGGCGCCCGCAGAACTTATGGCCAGGGGGGGCAAAAAAAAACAGTCGAAATTAATAATAACAGTTTCATTTGTCGATTTTCATATCACTCAGTTCGTGATAAAAATGTAAATATTAGTTACTTATTTCGTTCATGAAAATTTAAGTTGGAACGTGTTTGTAAAAAATCAAAAAATCCTTTTTTTATATCAAATATAGCAACCACTATCGTGCCAGGGGGGGAACGGCCCCCACTGCCCCCCTCCCTGTGGGCGCCCATGTATATGGTATAGATGAGTCATTAATTTATTGAAATCTGATTTAAAATTATCAAGAGGTCGTCGCAGGTTTTTAGTTAACCACTGTGTAGTACCAGATATTCAATTAAATTTTTGATTAATTTCTATAAGATTAAAATAAGTTGGTAAAACTGACACTGACTTTTGCTCAAGCAAATGATTTATACCAGGAACCAAACGTTTTTTGCTTAAACTACTTATTTTTTGGAAAAACTAATTGATAAATGATAAAGTACTATAAAAATGTGATGTTTTATCATTTACCAAGAATAAAATTATTCAAAATTTTCTTTTGTTTTTAAGATCTACAAAAAAAAATATTTTTTTAAATGGCAACCCACTATTAAATAATTTTTCCCATGAAGGTTATGATCTAAGGATTACAACTATCTACTTTGTTTTTTTTATTTTTTTACATAAATTGCAATTTTGACAAAAAAATTATATAACTCAAAAACAAAACAAAATTTCGTTCTCAAAAAACGATTACATTTTTTATATTACTTTAATTTATATTAATTATTATTTTCTGGAGACAAATGATTAAAAAAATCCGCTTGGCTCCATACTTTATATTCACCGTGTATATCTAATAGTATATTATAATACTAGTTAAACACACTCCGCTGACGCGTCGTTCTCTTAAACCCGTCTTGCGTGTTTTAAAGGCGCTTATAAACGAGTGTAATACGCTATTTTTTATTATACCTGCCCATTTACGATCTTTTATGAGCATTGAAAAAATGTGAATTTACACAATAAAATTATCAAAGGTTGTTTGTGAATCGTTTTCGTAGAGACGGTTACTAATTTACGTTGTTAAGCACATTTTTTCACGTTGTAATTGGTCAGACATTTCACTATTTCTTGTTACCTAGACAACTTTAAAATTCAGCGTGCTATAAAGGCCAAATTACGCCCGCTGCAGCGTGTTTTAATTTAGGATTATGATGCAGATATAATAAAAAACATATTATCTATTTATTGTATTTGATTAGTTATTTCTCAGGAATTTAAAAAATGTTTGATAAAATTATTTATTTCATAATAGTAATAATTCACTAAGAATACTTTACTAATTTAATTTACATAATTTACTACTGCTGGCTGTTTAAAATAAAATCAGTTTAAGTTCGTATCATAATAGGTATCTCACAACAAGATTTACTTAAAAAAATGTTGAGGCTAAAAGCAAAAGCATTTTTATTACTTTCCCTTGTCAGATAGTTTTTGAGTTTTGAACTTGTTTTATWTAWWWAWWAAWT